TAACGCCGGACGGCGTTACCTCGCCACCGAACTCGACGGCCTGGACGCCGACTGTGGGCTTCGTTGGGACCTTGAAAGACCACGCAGGCCCAACCCGCCCGAGTACCCAAACAGGCCCGTCGACTGTGCTGGACGGCCCGGCAACCACTCCAGAGGAGGCACAAGACCACCCTTGGACCGGGCCCCGTTGGACCGGGCCCCATTGGACAGGTTTGCTTTAGACCGAGCTCCCCAGCTGGCCCGTGGTCCCCCGTTGGACCGAGGTGTACTGGACCAGGATTACTTGAGGGACGGCAGTCGGTTGAGTCCGAAAGTGGGTCCGGGTCCGGGCTTGAATGCGGCAAGTTCAGTAAAGCGGCGTGAAGGACGGTTACTGATGCAGGCAGCGGGTCGCGGAATTCCGGCGCGGAGTCCGCTATCCGGGCCGCGAGGCGGCGGTCCTGGGGCGCGAGGCGGCGGCCCTGGGGCGCGAGACGGCGGTCCCGGGACGGCGGGGTCGTGGGTAGCCGGCCCGTGGGAGAGCGACCGTCGGGCAAGTGGCCCGTGGGTGAGTGACCAGTCGAGTGCAGAAGATGTGAGTCCGATGGTTAGGTCAGCGCGGGAGTTGGAGGTATGTGAGCCACTCACGGGACAGTTGGCAGAGCATCTGCGTTCCTCGCGTGCTTGGCGGGTGTTCTGTGCTGGTGTGGGTCCGGGTAATGCCTGGGTGGAGCGAGTTGACTTTTTGGGTTGTGCTGGTGACCCCATCTCTTTCCTCTTAAGTGGGCAGAATCTTCTCTCTTACGTCCCGAGGCTACTACGGCTGGCAGAACAACCCGAACTGCGAGCCATCAGCGTCCTGTACTGCCATTTCCTCGTCGCATTCGCTGAAGCCGCCCACTACGTCGCACAGTGCACACGCGAACTGAATCTCCTCCTCCCCGTCACCGCTATCCTTAGCCAACAAATGTGGAAGCCCGGTGGCGAACTCTACCCCGTCGTCCCCTGCGGCCTCACCGAGTTCCAACTGCCCCCCGTTCGTGACCAAATTGCCAGCGACCAAATTGGCAGCGACCACGACAAAACTGGCCACGACTACCCCGGCCTCGACCAAGTGGGTAGCCGTACGGGTAGCCTGGACGCCTCCTCTGAGGCGGTCTGGCCGGAGTTTCTGGGGGGCGGTTCCCTGGTCGGCGAACTCGTCGCTGTCGAAACTGAAGACGGCTGCCGCCGGCCGGGCATCATCATCAGCCAAAGCGGCGACGCCATCCAAGTCGTGCACCGCCAGGCGCCGTTGGATGGAGCCGCGGGCGTTCGAGACACTCCCATTGTCGGACTGTTCCTCAACAAACCGACGGGAGCCGCCCTGGAGTCGTCCAAGACGGCTGAGTGCAAGATGCCAGGAACCCAATCCAAGCTTGCTACCGTCGCCGATAAGACTACTACCGCCGCCGTGGGTCCTACTGCTACCCCCGTAGGTACTATTACTACCGCCATGGGTACTAGTGACAAAGTGGCGGCCTGGTTGTCACGGGTACGGTTCAACGCATTGCCACTGGTGGTGCCGTTTCGACTGGTACGGTTTATGTTCCGTGCGATGCAATGTCGTGTACGTTGTCTTGACGTGTCATTAAATTTGTTGACATTCTTTTCGTTACCATTTCTGCAAACATTGGGTGGTGGAGAGTTGTCACAATCGGACGCAATGGAGATGGTAGAAGACGCGGCATTGATGTGGAAGACAGAACTTTCGGCGGGTGCACGAGGTGAGAAAGGAGCGGATCCAAAAGAGCGGGCGCTTATGGGATTAGGAGTGCAGTCGTTCCCTTCAATGCGGTTAGATGTAGAGGAGGATGCAGAATTATTTGCGTCGGTGTATACGCATCATATAGAACGTTTGGATAGTGGTACATGTCGACCGCCGATCGCACGTGTGCTGGAGGTGAAGGCAAATGTTTGGGAGACAGTTTCACCCCGGGAAGGTGCTTTGGGATTGCGGAAGGTCTTTGAAAAATTAGGTGAAGGACTGGACACAGTAAATGTGTTTGCACGTACAAACCTACCTACCGCCGTTCGTCTCGCCCTCGTCCTTTCGCAGTCCGACTTAGTCGCACATGACCGACCTACCGTCGTCGTCTACTGTGCCTCTGGCGATCTTGCCGACTCAGTTTCCTCTCTACTCTGGGACGATGTCTTAGAACCATTCGCCGCCAAACCTATTCAGAAGGAACCACTATCCGTCTCCCAACGATGGAAGGCCATAGACACTTCGCAGCTTGTCTTCCTTGGGCACCAAGACGCACTCCAGCAACCACCTCTCGCACCACAACCCCTCACCACCATACGAGGGGGAGACAAAACACAACCGCTTTACCTTTGGGCCACTCGCCTTACCTACGCTGGCTGGCTTGCCATACCCTTCCGTGCAGCCTGTCTACACATACTCACTCTCTTCCGAGACCAAATACTTGCCGCAAACGCTCTACACGCATCCACACACGCCCTACTCAACCAACTACCAGGCTTTCAAGACCTACCAGGACCACCTGCACCTTGGAACTCATTCCTCGACACAGCAAAACTACTCATCAGCCGGCTCGGAACCGGAGACCCTTGTCTACCACACGAATCCCAACTACGATACTACGAGCACATACTCGCCGCGGCCAAACTATTCATCGAATCACCAGCCATTGAAGCCACACAACACCTCAGACAACTCTATCTCACCAAGGCCAAACCGGACACCGCAATATTACCCGCTGCTGACCTTCTCCGCCCCCACCACATGGTACACCTACTCCAGTACAAAACCCGCATGCGGACGCTCTGCTTCACATGCGAAGGACCCACCAAAGTACGACACACACATTTCTTGCCCTACGACATCTCCCTCTTAGACGGTTTCGCCCTTTATACAAAACATGATCGATCACCAGTCCTCCAACCAAGCGTATCCTCCGAGGTAAACGCCATCCGCCTTGATTATCGATCAGAGGGGGGTATTCCGCCGGAGGGAGGAGGTCAACACGCCAGCTGGAGGTGACCGCGGACAGACAACAACCAAGCTACACGATCAGAGCCAACCGCGCCATACTAGCCGCAGCAGAACTAAACGCGGCACACCCAACCGCGACAGATGACCAGCCCTGGCGAAGGAGGTCGCGAAGTTGCCCGCGTGCAACCTTCGCGTGTCGCTGCCAAAGCTGACCGAGGGGTGGCCCACATCCTGAGGGGTGGCCCGCCTATTGCAGAAACTGCTTGTCTCAAGCCGGGCCGTCCCGACGTCTCGAGCTGAGCTCCAACTGAGTTGGCCGTGTCACTCTAGGCCGCACCACTTCAGTCCGCACCACTTCACGCCGTGCTGAGTTAGCTGGCTTCCGCACGGTCGAGCATGCGGGAGAGCGTGTCTAGGATGTCCATGGCCTGTCTGCGTGCCTCGCGGCTTTCTCGCGCCATTTGCTCGTGTGTGCGGAAACGTTTGCGTCTGGTGCGCACGGGTTCCTCCTCTTCCTCTGGTCCCTCTTCCGGTTCCTCGGCCGCTTGCTCGGCCGGCTGGAGCTCTTCGTTCCAGCACCACATGGGGTGGTCGAGCAGTTCGGTTTGGACGACGGCGTGTTGAAGAGCGGCGTCTGCATCTTCACCGGCGCCAGCGAGGGCTTCGGCAATGGTCCAGAGTTGGCGACAGAGTTCGAGGTCCTCGTCACGAGCGTCGTGTCGTGTGAACAAGTCCTGCAGCCACGGGCGCTGCAGCCGGTTGAACATGTGCACGACGGCACACGTGTGTCCGCGACCACCCAACACGAAGCGCTCCGCCGAGACCAACAACTCCAATAACCGGTCACTGCGCGTCCACAGCGTCACGAAGTCCACCTCAGGGTCCAACCAGGCCAACAACTCCGGCAAATGCTGCGCCGCGAAACACTTAGCCAAGACCGCAAGCCGATGCTGCCGGTCACGCGCACGGAATCGCACACTTCCCATCAACCTCTTCCGTCCACTCGGCGCCCGCAGCTTCAACGCCGCAGCCGCCGCAGCAGCCTCCGCAGCCGCCTCCGGCGCCTCCTGTGTGCGCTCTTGTTCGCGCACCCGCTCAGCGAACCGGAAGACCGGTCCTATGAACAAGTCGTAGTACGTCCAACCCACCTGCTCCACCGCCCGTGCGCGGAAGGCCTCAGACCGCTCCACGAAACACAGCCGCCGATGCACCTTCGCCCACTCGCTCTGGTAGTACTCCCATAACGGCAGAAATACCAGGTCTTCGTGCCCCGGACCCCGGTTCCTCTCCTCACCGGATGCCTGACGGGGTGCTCGACTGATCTCCTCATTGGACACCAGAGCGCGTTGAGGGTTCAGGCGACGGCAAGCGCGGAGTATATCGACTGCGCGGCTGTGAGAGAGCACGTACTTCAAGATGCGGTCCCGCTCGGCGCAACGCACCGCCTTCAACGCGCAGTCGATCCCCACCATCGCAGCCGGCGCATCGCGACCAAAAACATAAAACCGATTGAGGCATTGGCAGTGCGTCTGCCCGGGCTGCACCAAAGGGTTTATCGTCGGCGGCTCCCCCGGCAGTCGGGACGCCTCCGAGTCAGCTTGACCTGGGGCCTCGGCCGGAGCCTCGTCTGTATCTCTGGGCGGGGGGGCGAGATCTTCGTTTCTATAAAGTAAACCGCACCACGCGCAGTCCGCGGGCTTTAGAAAGGTCGCCACCGACCCTCCCATCGCCAGCGTCAGCGTCTCGCGTTCTATAGGCTTCAAAAAATCACTCAAGCCATATACAATAAGTCTGCAGAAAGCTAACGTGAAGATGAAGGATTGTAGGGTGAAAGGCGGAGGGAGGGGCTTCCGTTGATGGCACTCACGGGGTCACGGCACTCACTGGAGGGCCAAGAAACTTACTGTTTTGTCATGTCAAGCACATAGGCTTGCGAGCAAAAGGACGTTGGATATTTTCTCCAGAGAATTCGCCGGCAGGCCCCAGGAGCGGTTCGACGCCCACAAATTCCTCACATTGAGCTGATGCAAATTCCCTGGAGAGAAGCACTGCAACAGGTACTGCTGCGCTACTGCGTGGCATAGCGATTCCTCCAGATTCCACGTCTCCTTTGAGTGACCGAGATCTGTTTTTTGGCGCCTAGCGCATAGATTTATCAAGCGCTTTTGGTTCTCGGCCACTGCAGCCTGTTTCAGGTGCAAGAAGGCGTGAAACAAACTGTGGGCCAGTACGTAGTGGCAGATGAGGCGCGGGAGGTTGGGCTTAATGGTAATGCTTTTGACAGCCAGCAGATTCTCCCGAAGCTGAATAAATCTCATCGAGCATAATTGCGGCGCATCGGGCGCAATTTGAGACCAAGCACACGTGTGTGCGCACCCATTAATCTCGGGAGCGTCGACGAAAATAGGGATGGACATGAGCAAATTAGACATCTCTTCCGATATTTTTAGGCGGGTTCGAAAATGCTCGATGACGCGTCGTTTCAGCGCAAATGCGTCCCGGAAATTGAAGACGTGGCCGTCCAGAAGGAGCCTGCAATCATCGCAGAGCGTGGCGCTGTTCATCTTGCGCTCGCAGCACCAGCACATGGGTGTATGCTCTGCTGCGCATTCAGCACAGAGGTTCTCGACTCCTTCCCAAAATGGATGGTGATAGTAAGCGCTTGATTTTCTACGGCAAAGATTACAATGGTCCATGGTGCAGTGCTCCCTATGTAGTCGGTCAGTGTTAAAAGGAGCCTAGCTAAAATAAAAGTCAGCAGGATCATCGCTGTCATAGTCCGGGTTGGTTAGTTGATCGTCGCTGCTGGCCATGCTATACATTTGAATTTGCCACGTACCCCCAGGCATATCCGCCATTCCCGGAAGCATATGACCGATCGATAGAGATCTGATAGGATAGGGCGCAGCAGCGGTGTACACTTGGGCATCCAGCAGGTCGGTGCGGTTCCCTACAAATAACCACTCCGGGGCATTAAGGTCCTCTGGCTCCGACAAGCCTCCTGTGGCTTGACTGTTATGTTGAGAGTCCTGAAGAATATTCTCATCCCCTGTAGCTCTCATGCCGGTCCCGTTAAATCCAGTGGTTGTTGGGGTGTAATATTCGGCGCTAAGGAATAAGTCAGCTATCCGTATTGCCTCCACGGCGGTAACTGGCTTGCCCACGGCGTCATGGCCATTGATGACGACCAGATGTTTGTCCAATTGTATTATCACAGGTTGGATCCTGGCGAATTTGAGAGAAGCGGCTTGTTTCCATCTATCCGTTTGTGTGTTGTATACAAACACATGGTTGGAGGGTGCTCCCCGTGAGGCTCCACCTATTATCAGGATTCTTTGGCTCAATGCAATCACCGCGGCTTTGTCCACCTTTTCGGGCAATTCTGCACACATGTTCCAACTTGCCTGTTGTAGCCGCGCTACACGACTTTCTGTCGGAAGTCCGATCGGTGGGATCAAAAGACTGAACATACTCCCGTCAATTTGCCTCGTGGCCTGACTCCTACCGCCGAGGTAGTATAGCCTGTCATCTATAAAGACTAGTGCGGCTTGGTTTACGAACTTGGGGCATGATGTGTTCACGACGGCCCAGGAGTTTTGTCGGTTCCGAAATAGTTCCAAAGCGTTGGTGTCTGGGGCGATGGCCGCCACACAGTCGTGTCCGATGTAGGCAGTGGCTGAGTCGCGGTTGTGATCGCAGCTTGAGTTTTGTCTATGAGCAATGCTCAGTTCCTGTTTAGTGGTTGTGGTTTGTGAGAACAGACGCTTTTCCAAGCCCATAGCAAAGCCAACCGCAACGGGTTTGCACTCTTTATGTGAGTCGGCTGAGGGTTTCGCGCCGATCTCCGCGCCCATCCTGTTGGACCTGGGACGTTCAAAATAGGGTACCGAGACGAGGAGTGTGCTCTTAGCGCTGTCGAAGCCACCAAGGCATAGAACTCCAGTCTCCATAGGGCAGCACCTGCTGCCAAGTGGCAGCTGTGTTTTCCTTTTGCTGTCTATCGTTTTCTCTTTCCAACCAAACACGTTATCTCGTCGCTCAAGAGTCAATGTCTTCATATGGACCACCAACGACTTACCCACATTGTTCACAAACACCGCCTGTACTGACCATTTCTTGTCCACCATGCTAATCAATGTAAAGCCGGCTGCAACTCCGTCTTGCAAAACGCGGTTTTCTCTGAAACGCGATTTCAACACCACTGAGCAACGACCTCCCGTTCGACGCGACGACCACCACCACCTAGAACGCCAAGACGTTCCGCTGCAGGAGAAACGCGGACCTCTGAGAAGAGCAGACTCACGACGGGCCACCGCTTCTCGAAACACCAACCGCCCCACTTGACAAAATCCACGCAACGCTAACGTAAATGTCGCATACGACACCTGGGCACCCACCTTGCCAGCCACATACCATGCCAGGTGCCAGAACATACCACAAAAAAACCCGAACCCGACCCCTCAAATGTTGGCATAAATTAGACAAATTTCCAGCCACAAAATGTCGACCAACCCACAAGTGAAGAATCAATCGCTTATTACACTGCTGCAACCCGGCAGCAATCGGACACTACTTGAAGGGTTGCCGTTGGCGGCAATAATCCAAGCAGTAGCTCAGCCCGACATTTCTGGAATGATCAATCTACCGTCGATCACGTTCATGGCGGACATTGCAACGATCCCCGTTGACATAGCAGCTGGTGCAATTATGAATCACGGATTCTCGATTGAACGTGCAATTCTGCAAACAGCGTATCGTGTATTGAAGAGGGACCCAACATTTGTGTTCAAAACACAGCAGCCGCCAAATCCGGAAACAGCGAGGACTGACATAGCTGAAGCGGCGATTGGAGTCGCAATCATGTCGATCAAGTACTGCCAAACAGAACCACTCCAATTTTGTCCACTGGGCGTGGTTCTAGCGATATGTTTTTGCCTAGCGCTGCAAGCAGGCTAGCTGGCAACCGTAGCAATGACCGGATCAAGCAAATTACAACTCTGATTTCCTGCTTAGGGCGTCCCCCACTAGCAGCCCTCGCCGTCTTCCATAGTCCTGAAGCCACCATCAACCACATGACTAAAGCTATGGCAGGCCACAAATGGGCAAACATGATTGATAGGGTAGATGACAACATGATTAGGCGGCCGGAGTTCACCCCAGACTGGTTAAGTGGCTCAGCACTCACCGCAGCTTCTACTTCCATCCACACTTTAACGGAAACACCGAATTCCCGCAATCAGATATGAAAGGATCGCCGAGGGATTGTTCAACCGTAAGAAGCAAGCAGCGCCCTCGAAGTCTGACCTGGACAATAAACCGACCATCGTGATTGGCAACGGACGGCACGTGCTCAGAGCAGGGCGTCTTAGGGCACTTATTCAATGCACACACAGTCAAAATGGTCCTCGGAATGGAAGCAAAGGTGGTGGGCAGGTACTCACCAGTGACGAGAAAGTACAATTAGCAGCAGCTCATGGAGAGAAAGACTATCCTAGTGCAGTGATTGTCCATGGAGAGGAATCTAGCAAGGAGTTCGCCCTAGCTGCGGTCCGATCAGGAAACGAAGATGTCACTTCTTGCCCGTGGGCCCGAGCTCGTCTGATCTTGGATATTCTATCCGTACTAAAGAGAACATCTTCGTATATCCAAGATCAGACGAGCTCGTGCCCAGGGGCAAGAAGTGACATCTTCCGCGGAGACAGTTGCACAAAACATTGCGCGCTATCTCGGCTTGGGTGCGATCTAACGAGGCGAGCCGTCCACGTCTTTGTTGGCTCAACACGCCCCCACAGCTCGCTAAGTGAAGGGAGGCAGAAGCCCAGTAAAGATGCGCCACTCCTCGTCTGGAGTGGCAGCCGAACTTGCTCACCGCGAACCTCCGTGCCTGATGCTTGTGCGCCCGGACCGCTGACCTGCGTTCGTGTAACCTCCGTAACCCGCATGGGTAACGACCACCTAGCCGGGGTCCACGTGGGAGCCACCGGTCCTCCTCGCGCTCCTGCCTGCGACCCTGGCTCCATTGGCACGACTACGGTGTCCCCAACGTGCAGCTCCGCGGCTCCTACAGTCTCCAGCGGTCGGTCGTTGAGCATCATGACCCGCAGACGTACCTCCACGAGCGCCGCGCGGTCTCGCTGCTGCGTCTCCTCGTCCCGGCCAACTTCTGGAAGAGCGCGAACAACGGTACGCGTCCGTAGAGCGCCCCGTACGGACTCACCCCAGAACTGATGCGAGGCGTCGTGTTATGGGTCCTGACAACCGCAGCCACCATGTGTGACAGATTCCTTTGCCCCTCCTGCCATAGCCCGGATCGGAAGCTTCGTTTATGCCACTCCCCTGCGGTCTGTATGTAGCTGTTGTCCGACCTCAATCATTTGGTCACTGCGTCGTGAAATACTCCTTTGAAACTCGTCCCGTTGTCCGTAAGTACGATGCGTGGAATTCCGAAGGCACCACCCAGCCGCGATAGAATATCTCGACCGTCTGCCGTGCTGCCACTAGGCTTGTGATCCACGCCCCCAGGTGCCGCGTGGCGTGATCCACAGCCACCAGTACCCACCAGTTCCGATCACCGAGGTTGAGAGGCCCAACGTGATCCAGCGACACCAAATCCAAAGCAACAGCAGCATCAAGGTTGCCTCCCGGCACGGGATGGATAATCGGAGCTCGACGGCATACGCGTGCGCCCACGAGGCAGTCCTTAACCGTCTGCGCCACATCCGCAGCCAAGCCCGGTCAGTAGAATAGGCCCATCACTCGCTTCCTGGTCCTCCCACGTGACCGGCCGATCCTTTGCGATACAACGAGATAACTCTGGTGCGCAGTCACTCAGGCACATACACCTTCCCTGAGGCCGTATGTCGCCGCCACTTGCCGTCCTTCCAAACCCCTACTATCCCCTCCGGGGGCATTGACTTGTACGCCGCCGTGAAGTCTTCCTCCGTCGGCCGGTTCGCGTGAATTAGTGCAAGCCAATTCGCCCTTCCTTGCCGGTGTGCGAGGACACTGTTAACCCCCCAAAACGAGTGAAGTAATTGTGGACCATTCCCCTTGACAATTCCTACCCCCATATGTGCAACCACCGCGCCACCAAGGGCCATCTGTTACACAAGAGCCTGCGTCTCCTGTGACGTAGCGCGACAAACAGTGCGGCATGCAGATTAGCATGATCGGTCCTCACATTGAAATAAGCAAGATCGACGTAGTCAGCCCACTTGTCTATAGCCCACTTGACCAGCAAAGGGTTCTCTCTCACGGGTATCCCACTTGCATCCGGCAGCGGGAAACTTCTTGGACGCAAACTCCAGAGGCACCTCCAGAGGCACCTCACGTCCCTCTTGGCTCTGCTTCAGAACTGCGCCAATCCCCCAACTCCGGCGCATCCGTCTCAATGATATAGGGCTGGCCAGGCTCTGGTGTGTGAAGTAACACCGCCCCGACTACTGCCGTCCATAGCGCGCTGAAACTCGGCCGGTGAGTTCTTGATCCCGAAAGGTATCACGTTAAACTCAAAAAGCCCTAACGGCGTGACGAACGCAGTAAGATGCCTACTCTCCTCAGCGATGGGTACATTCCAGAACCCTGACGACATGTCAAGCGTACAGTAAATGCGATGGCCCGCCGCAGTCCTTAAGTGATCCCAGATTCTTGGAATCGGATAGGAGTCCCCAACCATTGACCCCTATCTTCTCACAGTCATCCCTTCTCAAAATACTCAGGCCTGCGCCTGTATCCTTGTAAAATTCCAACTCGACCCCCTTGACCCTCGTCGGCCCCACATCGTCGTCATCAAAATCCAAGCTCATTCCCTTGGCCAACTCACTCACCGATGGCCCCACATCGTCGTCGTCCTCAACCAACGAGTTGCCCACGGCCGCTCGTCCATTCGACTTCACAGGTCCGGAAGCCGACGTACGCGTTCGCGCCTGCTGCGCCTCGACCTGCATCATATCGTCGCCTCGCTTTCGTCTCCGTCGATCGCCTCGCTTCTGTCTCCGTCGATCGTCTGCCTCAATCTCCTCGTTAATGAACTTCTGCGCCGCTCGCAGGTAGTCACGCCTCCATCGGTCGCCTCCATCGGTCGCCTCTCACTTGGAACGTTGTCCGTCCCCTACTCAGCTCCACGAACGCCCTCATAGCAGCGTCCTGGTCAGTCAGACAGGTCCCATCGCACACAACGCTCCTGTGACCTTTCCGACCACAATTGAAACACTTGTCGTCCTGGCTCGAACAAGCTTTCTTCTGGTGGCCGCTACGGCCACAACCCCCACATCTCCTCGCACCGTAATGATTACCATTACCGAAACGACCGTCAGACCGCTCCGCAGGCCATCTCATGGCTGCCAACACAGGGGGGGGCTCCACGCTCGCTTAACGGCGACAACTTCCGTGACGGCTCGAGAACTGAACTCCTGGAGGACTTCAGCGCCATATGGAAAGCCTTCGCCCAACCATCGTCAAGAGCCGCTGCCAGAATGCAACTTCAACACGTCCGCTCCAATACCGGCTGTCGTTCCCCTGCGAGCTGTCAGACTAACAAATCGCCCTCTGTCGCGTCCGCCGAATCCTCCTCTTCAGTCACAGCGCAAAAGACAGGGAACTTGCTCTTGTAGAGGTGCTCCCTCCACTCCCTTCGTTCTCTCGAGCGCATCCTGCCTGCCGACGGCGGAAACCTTGGCACCTACCGGCAGCCGATCCATCAGTCCAGCAGCTGTCGCCAATGTGCTGTCCTCGTGGTGGATGCCGACTATCCGGCCCCGCTCGTCGGAGATGCTCCCGTCCGTACTCTCCCTGGGCGAGCCGTTTACGTCTTTGCCGGCTCAGTCGTCTGGCGCCATTATGTTAGAGACTGTGTCTCGTACCCTAATTTTGTCTGCGACCAAAACGACCCTGTTCCGACCCTCCCCGTGACTGCAGCTAATAACTAGTTGTCCCACCTTACCCTCTTGCAGACAGTGACTTCTAACACTGCTAATTCGTGAGCCTATTTACTCAACAACCTACTCAGTCTACTCCATCTTAAGTCTACTCCACCTCAAGTCTACTTCATCTTAAGTCTACTTCATCTTAAGCCCACCCGATCCTGAGTTCATTCAACCCGTTGTTAGTCGTGATGAAGTTCATTAGTCTAATCACGTTCGCTGTTTCAAACGAGTTAGTGGATGCGATTTTGTGGCATCCTAAGCTGGTATTGGAAAAGCGTCCGTATCTCGAGAGCAAGAGGCATGATGCCAGGAAGCATAAGGACTTATTGAAATCTCAGGGATGGTGGTCGACACGGAAGGATTTACTTGACGAGGGTGAGAACTTGCCGGCCAAATTTGACTGGAGAAATGTCAACGGAATCTCATTCGTTACCCGAGATCTAAATCAGCACATTCCTAAGTACTGCGGTAGTTGTTGGGCGCACGCTGCTATCAGCAGCCTAAGCGATCGCCTGAAGATCATGCGCAACGGGACATGGCCAGATATGTAAGCTCGACCCGCCCCTCACAACTTTCAGGACCACCCACGAGCATATCTGGCCTGGTATTAAACCACGCGGCATTCGACCGCCTGGCATTCGACCGCCTGGCATTCGACCGCCTGGCATTCGACCGCCTGGCATTCGACCGCCTGGCATTCGACCGCCTGGAATGGGAGCAGGATAACCCTTTCGTTTTGTAGTCAGTTGTCAGTACAGTTTGCTCTCAATTGTCTTACAGAGGCGGGGACATGTTTTGGTGGTAGCGATCTAATGTTATATGATGAAATCCATAAAACGGGCGGTATCCCGGACGAGACGTGTGAGAGTTACGTGGCGGACGACGAAGTGTGTGAAGCGCAGAATCGTTGTCGGAACTGTTTCGGTCCTCCGGGCGCGGGGCATTGTTTCCCACAGCCCGTGTATGATGTGTATGGTGTAAGTGGTCTGGGGTACCTGGAAGGGCCCGGTCTTGATCACCACATGACCTCCCACAAAAGGCTGCTTCGGACCTCGCCTGGCACTACCTCGCCTAGCACTACGTCGACCAACGCTACCTTGCCCTTGGTTAGCACCCTAGGCAGCACCTCGGATCGTCGGATGACTAATGCAGATATGGTTGCGGCTATGAAGGCCGAGATATTCGCTCGAGGACCTATCTCTTGCGTCGTTGACGCGGAGACAATGTTCAATCTCACAAGCACTGGAATCGTCGACGTCCCGGGCCGGGAAGTGAACCATGTGATCTCCGTCGGTGGCTGGGACGTAGAGGAAACCACGCAAAAGGAATACTGGGTCATTCGCAATTCTTGGGGCACCTATTGGGCAGACCGGGGCTGGGGCAAGATCTACACTGGACACAACTACGCCTTCATCGAAGCATTCTGCTCATGGGCCATACCCAAGCTGCCAAATACTCGGATCTCGCACCACCAGGATTCTCCTCGCATTGAAGAGCTGTAACGCTTGCTGGATTATTTATCCAAAGCCACGGAGTCACACAAGCCGTGGGCACGTGGTTCAATACGGGGAATGTAACGAGGAGAACCCTACTTACTTTGGAACTTCAACTTGATCACTTTTAGTCATGTGTGTCCGTGTGTCCTGTCCGTAAGGGAGGAGGTTGAACAGATGATGTATGGCCGAAGGAAGGTGGCAACGAGGTCAAGTCATCATGGTTCTTATGACAAGGGCTACACCCGTGCTACAATTGCGCGTAAAGAGGGAAACGATCTGGCGAGAGTAAGGAACTTACTGGTTCTGCCAGTCCAGGCTGGAATCTGGAACTCGACGCCATGAAGTTAGAATCCTAGTAATCGCGAATCAGCAATTCGTAGTGAACACGTTACCGGGTCTTACACACGTCACATCGAAAAATCTCCCCGTCACACCGAAAAATCTCCCCGTCACACCGGGGCCAGTGTTTACGAAAGTCGGGTGCATGGCCTGGTGCTACATGGTGAAGTCAAATATGATAACGTCACTAGTGGGTTTACAGGGATGGATAGTTTTAAATGGCGCGGTATAGTGTTCTGACTGATGCTGCCGATCGGTCACGGGTTTCCGGCGGAGCGAGCAGAACCCGATGACCGAAGTTGCTGTGTGCGGTGTCCCTCTTATCATCGTCCCCCTTATTGTCCTAAATTACATTGGGAAATGCCCTACTGCCGAATTGAGACGAACGTGGCCGCTGATAAGGTGACCCCTCAGATGGCTGAGGAGCTAGGCAAGCTTGTAGCCAAGACCACGGGCAAGCCTCTCAGCGTAATTATACCCACCAGCCTCCTCACCCACCAGCCTCCTCACCCACCAGCCTCCTCACCCTCCTCACCAGCCCCCTCCAACCGGTATTGTGTTCCTTTCCGCCCACCACACCAGTGTCTCATCCACTGACGACATCCACATGTTCAGTACTGTGCGGGGGCTATTGTTCCAGGCGTTCCCATGTCCTTCGGCGGCGACGCGGCGACCCCATGCGCACAGGCGGTATTGATGAGCATTGGCTGTCTTGGTGGCGACTTGAATAAAAGACACTCGAAAGCCATTGCGGACTTTACGAACAAGACTCTGGGTGTGGCACCCGATCGGATGTATATCCAGTTCGTGGACGCTGCTGGTAGCAACGTTGGCTTCAACGGAAACACTTTTTAGGCTATGATGGTAACTGTGGGAAAAATGGACTAGCCTTGTGGGCTGGTCGTTATGTTGGGCTGGTCGGTATGTTGGGCTGGTTGAGGTTAGAAGCTCTCCAGAACCCGGTAAGATTCGGAGGATTTCCCAGATTGCTTGTTCCCTTTAAGAACGGCGCCATCTTCGTCGTCGGAGAAGTCGTCGTCGGTCAATTCCTGCATTGCCTGTTGTTGTTTGTACCACTCCTCCTGTTGACGCAGCCACCAGTACTGTCGGTTAGCTTCGTTCCACAACCCGTACGAGAACTGGTTCGGGTCGAAGCGGTAGAGACCCTGCGATTGCAAGGTCCGCGTGACCATGTCCTGCATCTCCCACGACGGCGGCTGGTGGGCACAGTAGCCCGAGGCGAGCTGATTCCCGCCCAAAGCGGTCAGATATCGCTGCACGTCTCCCTCGAGTCCAGACGGGAACTGGGCCGAAGGCCGCGCCCCAGGATACTGCGCTCCATGATACTGCGCTCCAGGAAACTGAGCTCCAGACGGCTGGGCCCATGTAGCCTGGCCTCTGGGAGCCTGGACCCCGGAAGGCTGGGCCCACGCTGAGGGCTGGACCCCGGATGGCTGGGCCAGCTGGACGTAATATCCGGGTTGAGTCACATTACCCGACTCAACCCTCAAGACCGAGGCAATGGGTGAGACACCGGGCGAAACGGCATGATTATAGTGGGGCAGATTCTGCACGTGGTTCGTCGGAACAGAACCAGTCGGGGCAGGGCCGCCTGCCGTCCTCTGGAGGGGTACCGTGCTGGCGGCTGCGGGGCCTGCCGCTGCCGGTGGCTGGATGTGAACCCTGTAAGGCGGCGGGCGGGCGTTATGGTGGACGGGACATGTGCCGGGCTTCGCCTCACCACCACCTGAGGGGGGCGAGATATATAGTTGTACGGTCGTGGCCGCGGCAACCAATGCGATTTCCGGCAGCCGATTCTTCGCTCCCGTTTGGCTCTTCATTGCGCGAATTAAAATAAGACCGACTACGGGGTCAACCAAGTGTTAATAAAAATTAGTGGTTGAGACCTAACAGCGTGAGTGCCCAATGGCTCAGCAGGTCTCCCTGCTTATGCTGTCCTCCTGTCCGACGAACAACCGAGCTGAAGCGTCACTGGGGCCATTCACCTTTTCGTACCGAGAAATTTCACACCCACATTTCTTTGAGTAACCATTTCTGTTGTATGAAGAAGTCGCGTAAAGTCCTGCTCACTGGCGCTGCTATCACCCCCTCACTAGTCTGCCACAGCATCCGTGTGGGCGCAATCGCAGAAAATGGCGGCAAGGAGATTATTCCGAACCTGATTTACATGTTAACGAACGAATTCGTACAGTATTGCTCGCTGGAGGATTATGACCGTCTGATTCCCATGGAAGCTCGGGAAGTTCTCAGGGAGAAATCGCTGTACGATAAAGAGGACATCGATCAGCGGATTGAGACGCGTAGGCTGCTATTCTGGCGCAACGCGGAGGACGGCGCTGCTAAAGTTGCAATGGATATGGCGAATAAGCTTGCGGAGTTTGGGAATGGTCTTGACGACTTCACAGATGTATCAAGGGACGACTTTGAAGACATGGTGAATGTACGAGGCGATCGCGAGGGTGACTATCTTGCGGACATGTACATCGTTACCTGGAAGGCCGAGACAGAGACGAAAAAGGCCGTGCTGAAGCTAACCGGATGTGGTGAAGCAGGATGTGGTCACTTGTTTAAAGAAGTAAGAGCGTACTGCAGACTGAAGGAATGTAGACATGTACTGAAGCTGTATCAGTATGGCATGTACTATGACCATCATCGTGTCGGGTTATGCATCCTGACTGAGCTCCTGCAAGGCGTAGATATGATTGTCCCCGTCACTGGGAAAAGATCAAGGAAGCTTACGCATGCCTAGAGCGGTATGGAATGGTTTAGGCATTAGCAGAGCCCCCGTGCGCTGATAACAGCGTCGCGCTATATGGAGACTCCGTCGCTACGGTATCTACTTCGTGGCCACACACTTGCTGAGACGACGAGAGGTGGACGTTGACTTGGGTCCGCTAGCATATGGTCGAGACCAACTACTACCTCAGACACCTGTATCCTCGAATGTGGTCCCGCGTAGACTAGTTGGCTACCAGGTGGGCCTAACTGCAAGATATCGCGCCGCCTTGACGGCGGTAGCCGGCCCGAACGTCCAAGAGCCAGTTCGAGCACACACTGACCGCGACAGTGACTTCTACAAGTATTCCGTCTGGTGCAATGCGAAGGACGGCGCTGCTAAAATTGCAATGGATATGGCGAATAAGCTGGCGCAGTTCGGGAATGGTCTTGACGACTTCACAGATGTATGAAGGGACGACTTTGAAGATATAATAAATGTACGAGGCGATCGAGAGGGTGACTGCCTTGCGGACGTGTACATCGTTACGTGGAAGGCCGAGACAGAGACGAAAAGGGCTGTCCTGAAGCTAACGGGATGTGATGAAGTAGGACGTAGTCACTTCTGTAAAGAAGTTAGAGCGTACTGCAGACTGAAGAAATGTAGACATGTACCGTAGCTGTATGGCATGTACTATGACCATCGTCGTGTAGGGTTTTACATCCTGATTGAGCTCCTGGAAGGGGAAACAGGATATGATCATTACCGTCACTGGAAAAGATCAAGGAAGCTTACGCATGCCTAGAGCGGTATGGAGTGATCCATAACGATTGACGAAGACGGCGGTGACGGTGATGACGAACAAAGCAGTTGAATAACCGGTTTGTTCGTCATCACCGTCACCGCCGTCTTCGTCAATGCCGTCGTCCGAAGCGCGGCTGCACCGGACCCCCTCAAGAGGAGGAGCATCGTTTCTGTCCCATCCATCGACCCCGACCAAGATACAAGTTTTTTGGGATAGACAAGAACGATAAATTACGCAGTATCCTCTTGAGTTAGCGGTAGAAGGTTTCATAACAAGTGCAATCACGAAAGGCAAAGAATAATACAGTTCATTGCGTGCTCGCGCTCAACAAAGTATGTATTTACACACACACCCTCATGGAGTAAATCCCTACATGTTATCGGTGGCATAGTCATCCCCGGTGACGTCGGACCAAGATGTCCCCGGACCAAGAGATGTAAGGGGCAGGTACGAAAGAGTATCTAGCGCAATATGGTTTTAAGATTAATTATAAGAAGTCATCGATAGATGATGACCAAGCTGACGTACACATGTCGCCGGAGAAGGCCTTTGAAGTTCGTAACAAGATACTACGGAAAGCCCTGGTCGACTCAGAGATTGATAGTAAAGAAGGGACGATCCTGAGTAAAGAAAGGAAGATCGAATCAGGTACGATCCTGAATCCAATCAATGTTTATAATCTAAGCTCGCGAAAGCAGAAAGACCAGACCATACAATAGCGCTGGCTACAATACAAACTATAACGCGAACAATAATGCCAATAAGAAGAAGCCATATACACGGAGCAATCACCAATGGATACGTACCACCTCGATGAGCCACCCACCAATGGACACGTACCACCTCGATGAGCCACCCACCAATGGACACGTACCACCTCGATGAGCCACCCACCAATGGACGACGTACCGACTTCGATGAGCCA